CCAAAGAAATGCCTCAGCTTTTTATCTTCGAAAAAAGCCCGAATTCTTGGGTAACAAGGGAATACCGACATTTCGATCTCAATTATTAAGGATGAGCCTAGTTCAAAAAAGTATTAATCAAAACAAATCGAATGGAAATTCGATGAAAACACATATATTAAGTCTAACAATGTAACAATAAACCACGGTTTCAACAACAACGAGGATCAAAGTCAGGATACGTCACCAAAGACGCTTAAACCTCCCGTACCAATGACATCCATTAACGCAATTCTCAATCACGTTGACGAGGATGTTCAAATTTCTCGGCTTTACAATAATAATAATAATAACATTTCTCCGATTAATCATCTAACTTGCTCTTCATCCAAGCCATTTGATTTCCGAACCTTGTGCCCATGCATCTATGAACAACAAACACCATAAATGGCTTTTTTTAAATGGGCTACATATAAATTAAAATTTTACCTGATTTATTTATTCGTATTTGTTTAGTTTATAATTTTTTTTTATTATACATTGATTTTCGAGTTCCATTCGTTTATTCACTTTAATTATCGAAGTTTTTTTTTTTTTTTTTTTTACTTATTTCGCAATATTTTCACGTTTACAAAATTAATTTATTACTTTCGGTAATTTCGGGTAATTTCGGGATGAGTTCTTTTCTGATTTTATGGTTAACTATGAATAGAAAATTAATTTTTATATGATTAACTATGAAAATTGGAAAAAAAATTAAATTATAATCTAAGAAATAAATGTGATCATTTTTTTTTTCAATTGGATAAAATTAAAATCATGAAATAGTAAAGATATTATGATATAAATCCTAGCAAAAATTCTTGGAATGAAGCTTTAATTAATTATTTATTTTTTCATTTCGCAAAAATTCTCTTAAAGGAATTCCGTAATTTCATCGTCATATGTTCCATCAAGAATGTTATCGATAACCAGCAAAGGATCCTTTCCATTGCTTAGAACGAACATGATTTGCCAATCTCGTTCGTCAAAATCTGTCTTTGCATGGCCATTAAATATCAGTTCGCCTTGGCTGTAAACGTATCGCGATATTCGGCAACGTAATTTCTTTAAACCCAACCACTTGTTCACACTGAGGATGACATGCCATCGTTGTTTATTCCACTTGGGATAAAAAAAA